GGTAATTGGAACGTAAACTTACAAACGATAATGGCATGTTCCTTCTTCAAAAAAGCCAAGTGGTCTTATTGTCACATGAGTGCTAATTTGCATAAAGTGTTCTCAAGGTGAAACGTCATCGGTATTAAAAGTCGAACGATAGACGGACTGTGGGATAATTGCTGACGTGACCCCGTATTGCCGTTTAACCTTCGGCTCGAGGCGAGGATGAAGGCAGCCATATCACCGCTTTTCATCATTTTACTAATTATAATGATGTGTAGTTGCGGCATTATTTCCGCTCTTGACCTTGCCAGAACAAATGCAGCGGAACGTCGCCCACGTGTTGATTTGAAAATATCCGAACGAGACCAACATAACTCAATTGAGAAGTACAACAAGGTTTGTATTTTGCCCATTTCGTTTTTCAGTCGTGGTCGGCACGCTCCATTTTTTAAAAACAATTCTAAGTTCAATTTATCTTCTCTTCTTGCACTTTAAATATTCCGCAAGACTCGACACTCATTCCTGCAAAAACGAGTCCCTGTCATCAGTTTTCGAGGCCCTCGCTGACTGCCAATTCACCCCCACGTATTTAAATGGTCTCTCCCAATATACATCTGTAATCTCATTCAAATCATGGAAGGTACTAACATTGATTAAAGAAGAACTGATGAAATATCGTGAATTTTGTATTTGTAATGGTAATGAGACTTGATCAATGATTGCTTGTGACGATTGCATTATTCAATGGTACCATTGTCAGTGCGTGGGTTTGGCGCCCGAAACTGTCGAAATTTTTGACCACCGGACATCGGCGAACACCAACAGAAAAGATAGTATCGAAAGAAGAGCATGCCTAGACACTTTCTCTGTGATAATATTTTTTAGGAGTCCTTAAGAATTGTTGTTATATGCACTCGGAATCTTGTTTTAGTTACAGTTGCTAATAATTAAAACATGTGAAATTTGTGAAGTCAAACGTTCATCTGTTGAATTTCCGGATGTGAAATACGTATTTTGACCTTTCACACCTAAACCAACCGAGTGCGCAAGTATGATGACCGTAGTTTCATAATGCGCATATATTTTATGGTCACATTAAAAATCGGCGAGGTTATATCATACTCCTCTAACTCGTTACTTGTGTAAACAATCGCAAACTATCATCGACATCAAAGATGAGCTAGACAATGTCCTTATCAGGATTAATTTGGGTTGAAACAAAAGGAAATAAACCAGTTAAGAGGCTTAAGTGGCCATTTGATAGGCGTCGTGGCTCCTTCCGTTAGTACCTTCCATGTTCAAATGCATGTACCTGTCGATTCTCTCGATTCTGCAAACAAAAACTTGATGAACGCCACAATACAGAGTACATGCGTGTAGCGTTTTTTCTCTCCACGATGTGCCATAACTCTCGAATTATTCTTGTTATCAAACTGAAAGTGACAATTTTTTTTACATAATCTTTTAGAAAAAAGCATCTTGTTCGTGAATCGTATCCTGTGAATTCAGAACTTAGAAACTGCATAATGCTGGATTCACGCGATATATTGTTTTTTGCTTTGTATTTATGTGGCGGGTTAATTCAAGCAACTTTAAATGTACACCCCTAGCAAATAATTTCAGTGATACATAATGTATAAATCTATCGATCTAATATCTTCTTTTATTAGCACATTCGCCAATCTCGAAGATTACGTAACGATGATATTGACGGCATTGATCAAGGAAGCAGGGTCTCTCCTCCAATATTTACTTCGATCACTACTTGGGGATGTGGTGTCGACGAGATTGTTTGTCCATCGACCGGTGAATGTATACCTAGCTATTATTTGTGTGACGAAGTGCCAGATTGCCCAGATGCGTTTGACGAATCAGACTCTTTGTGCGACTATACCGGTAAGTAAAGTGCGTAGTTTCCTAGAACATTGATTACTGGAACATTTTATTGCATTATTCGGCAAT